AAGTACTGAACTAAATACTTTCTTTGTATATCTTTATTTTTGAGTTCCGAGTGATATGGTAACTCTAGAGTGTACCGTTCAGTTGACGAAATAAGACAGCACCAAGTGCCATCTATTACCAGAATCGGCCACTGCGAGAGTGTAAGCAGCAAGCTGCCTGTTGGAACTGTAACCCAGTTCGCGTTGTCAGCCGGCTGACTACTGAGGCAGCTAGATGCCGCGGATTCTGGTGCTATTTTGTCGGTGTAGGTATTGCATAATCATTTGCTTATCCATTATTCAACAACTATTCCAATGACGGCTTACTCTATCGAAATCAAACATGAATTCTGCATCCGCTAACGGGTGGCGCTTTCCAAAAGTAATGCTTTTAAATCATAACATTCTACAACGTTTACATATTCGTCGTAATTGACGGGTTCACCTTTTCAACCCACAACGTCAATGCAGGTGTTCCGCAGAGATCGGCTTGGCACCGGCATCGTTCCACTTACATATAAATGATCTCCTTTTCTGCACGAACAATCTAATCCACAGATTTGCTGATTACAACACTCTACATGCAGGAATTCAGAGTGACAGGCCGATCTCTGTCAACGAGTAGGCGAAAAGACTAGCAGCGACTTCCTCTCTGGCGCGAGATCTGAATGTTATCCCTGCTTGGGGACGCAACAATCTTGTACAGTTTAATGCTTCAAAAGCTCAGTACTCTATTTTGACGAACAAGAAGCGCCCTAGCGCCCATTCGGATTCTTCCAAAGAGCTGTTGATTCTGGTTGGTCCAGATCACGAGGACTTGGTCTGACACGAACACATTTCGTCAATAGCGGCAGCTGCTGGTAAAACACTAGGCTCTGTTTAGGGCTAAGAAATACTTTTCTCCACATGACCTTCTCACTTTGTACAAGGTCCAGATAGGACCTAGCCTCGAGTACTGCTCACATGTTTGGGGTGCTGTCACCCCGACTACATTACCCAGCTCGATGATCGATGACTCTTCCCTAACGGGAACCTTTCGCTCATGCGGGCCATCGGTGATCTAGCTCTCTTCTACCGCTATGCCAACAGGCTTTGCTCTTCAGAGCTCTCCTCCATGATGCTGCCGCGCGATATATCTGCCAGACAACTCGCCTGACTTCACCCTCTAATCCTAACCGAGTTGAACTTCGTACATCCAGAACAGGCCAATACGGCCGCCCCTTTGTCCCTGGGGTATCGAGATTGTGGATCAATCAACCCAAAGAGGTTTTTCTCAGTTATACTAACCTTAGTCAGTGGCAAACATTTGATTCACAGCTTATTTAAGCTCCTCATAACAGTAGCGGTGCCCTAGCATTTAGGCTTCTGGCTGCGCGGCTGCTTCGGTGTGAAAGAAATATATGGCTAGTCCGACCGTCACTATCTGAATGAGCTAATTGTTTTTCATGGATGTTATCATGTGAGGCCATAACTGGTTGCAATTTGCAATGCTGTGAAGGATATTTTTTTATAGGATCTCATATGCACTCGAAAAATTGTTATCTTATTCTGGTATACAATTCATACTAAGACATAAAGGGTAAAGGTCTTCTCAAAGACACAGTCATGAAAAAGGCGAGTAAATCAGCAGGTGGTTAACACAAGACGAAAAAACGACGAAGTACGCTTATTGGAAAAACATGTCCGAACATTTAAATATTATTCAAGTATTTTTGGTCGTAGTAGGTATAGCTAAGTTGATGGTTAATTGAATTGTCAAACATCAGTTCCATTTATTCATTCAGATTTACAAATACACTATTCGGTGGTCCGTATCTGGAGCTGTGAATCTGCGCGAAAAAAAGGAATTCAATTTCCTGGTTCTAAAATTACATGCATTCAGTTGCCAAATGGTGTCATTGGCCCATTGACGTGCCTAAGAATATTATCTGTAGGGTTATGTTACGGTGTGTGTTTATGGAACTAAAATTTTCACTAGAATCACTTCTAAAATGAAGTTTCAGTGAACAGTGTCTCGCGACTTGAGACAGAGACAGGACGAAAGAGTTTTGTTTTGATTAAAAAACTTTGAGTTTATGAATATGTTTAAGTTTGGTTCAATATTTTAATATATTTCGTATCGGAAGAAGGGTGATCAACTAAGTGCATAACACTTGGGCCAGTTGTACGTATTTTTAAGTGGTCCTTTAGGGCCAAATCTTCTGCCATCCCAAAGAAGTGAATCGTACGGTGTTACATTTAGTCTAGTTGTCTTACATTGGCCATAGGGATGAAATGCCTCAATATTGATTGACTGTTTGCTGGCTGTGAAACAAAAACAAATGTTTTGTTTCACTTTTTTGTTAATATAGCGTGATATCGATTACAGAGTTCTCTAAGAAGCCATTCGTTCCGGCTTGTCGGCGTTCAGATTACCAACGACACAAATACATTTTATACATGTACATCGAGGCGGCTGTTGGAAAGAGTTAAGATATCTGTTTTACTTCCCACTCCCACTAGCGAGGCTGTATTGTAATGTGTCTCTCTGTCTGCTAACCATTGGCCCGTCTATAACTTGGAAAGTATTGCTCGGATTAGGATGAAATTTTTAGACAATGTTAATACTATATCAAGGACAAACAAGCTTTGCAGTTTTTGGAAATCGGTCCCGTGGCGGCGGAGAAAAAGGCAAATAATTGAAAATTTTTCCCGTACGTTAGACCTTAAAATTGAATAAAAGGGTTGTTTTCAATAAGCGTCTGCTTCCGGCGGCGTGCCGGTCTTGGTGAGTGTTTTGGTATTACTGCCGCGCTGTCGATCTGACAGGGTATAGGTATCAGGGAGAGGGGGCGCTGCCTACTGGTAGGGCAGGTAAAGAATGACTACGGACCTGTTTAACGGACTTGATCCATTCAATTTCTATGTTATACACGTTCGTAGCCAGCAGTGGGTCTAACTTGTCCTTAAAATAATCCTTTATCAACCGATGACGGCATTCATGGGAAGTTCAGAGTAAACTTACTTGACGTCATTGTTTCTATACTGAGCTTAGGTAGAATCCCAAATATTGAGACAGCGTGACTGCTACATGGAGCTTGAAGACATCCGATGTTTGAACTACCTAAGGTTAGTAGAGCTGGCAAAAATCTCCTTATGCGGATTGTTCCACAGTCTCATCATCCTAGGAATAAAGGATTGGTCATGCCGGTCAGTTCTGGAACGGAAAAGGTTCTTATGAACACAAAGCCAAACAGTCCTGATGAATTCTCTTGCCGAGATACTAATTAATATTAGTTAGAAACAGAGTAGGTACTTCTAAAATGGCTTAAGCTATTGACGCCTTTCGGAATAAGAAGATGGTAAAGAAGTAGATAGTGAGTAGAAGAAATATAGGTCTGCCATTTTTGTCGATAGGGAATTAAAAACTAAGTAGGTATCTGATTTTCTAAATATATTCTGTATGTTCAAGAATAAAATTTTAATTGATTGTTTATTTTCCAAAACAGTGTTCTTGGATATTAGCCCTTAAACTATTGCTTGCCACATCTACTGGCGAGGAAGTATTGTAGTCGTGAAACATTTTGAAAATGAGATTATGCTTTTCGGATGTTGTATGTCGAAAAACCGTGTTACTTATTTCCTTCGGTCTGTCTGTCGGTCTGTCCGCAAATCCTTGACCCGCCTATGTCTTGGAAAGTACTGTTCTGATTTTCCACACAAAGTTACTACTGTGCTTTGTGTGAAAATCGCTCAAACTTCGGTCTTTGATTCTTCCGAGGATATTGCAATTTTTTGATATTAGTATATAGTACCCTGCTCATTCTATGCACCTTTTAGACATATTTCACACATCATAAATTTCTCCGTACATTTGCCGTTAGAAAAATATTTTCAGCAGACAGAACGCATACCAATCAGTCTCATTGGCCATGCACCACGCGGCTGTAAATATTGCATCCTTTGTAGTAGATCCAAGGGATATCTAAGGGGCATATCGTCAGTCGCTCATACAAAATTGTAGGAGGCCTTTAAGGCCTCCTTGATTTTCGTAGTCTTTTCTCTCCTTTACTTCAGAAAGGCTGGGGAATTTCTAGATTTTTACTGCTATGTGTCAGCATCAGCGCTCTTGTGAGGCTATGTTTTCTTTGTGAATTTTAAGACATTTAAGGCCGATATAACAGGTAACAGAAATCAAAAGCATGAACAATTTGATGCAAATAGATATTTGTAACATAACCTCAAATTAGAGCGCTGACACGAAACAGTAGAAAACTATGAAAAAGCAGGTCATAAAGGCGTCCTACAATTATTGTAGGAACGACTGACGATACGGCCCTAAAAGCATGTAATATACAGCGCGATGACGCAATGTGTACATATAGTTTATTCACTGAAACAAAGCAGTTACGTCATATTTAGTAAATTTTGATGCCAGCCTTAATGCAAAATACATCCTAAATTTTTACGTATAGTTTGAATTTCCCGGGTACATTTATGTTGGTAACAGTCTTCTGTGTTGTAACATTGTCGCGAAGCTTGTCAGGTAATTATACCAACGGCTGTTGTTTATTTGTGGTAAATTTTCGTTCTTTTTGCCTCAATATTTGCTTTGTTATTTTAAATATTATTATATATATATATATTTTGAGGTGTCCTTTTAAGAAACCTCTGGGCCGACAAGCAAAAGAATTCGTAATTTCTTTGACAAAATAATTTGAGACCGAACTAGATCATGGAGCTCCAATATTGCTTTTACAGTCCGTAAGAGAAGTATTACGTAGTAAATAAAATTTATACTAGCTCTAGCGTTTACAAAACATACACTCCGTAATGTTGGTTGCGGTAAGCTATCGAAGACATAAAGTGGATTTTGTGAAACGTCCTAGGATCTAATTAATGTGGCAACCATGTGCATCACTGTCATTATTTGACGTTGTGACGTAACTACTTTGATTCAGTGAATAAATCATATGAGGTGGTCACGAGATTTTCTATAGATACGAGCATTATGCTTGGAGTGTAATTTAATGGAGTTTCTTGATTTCGTGAGAGAATATTATATAGCATAGGTATATTTTATTTAAGTACGCATCAACATTTTATGAAATTATACCTAAAGACTTAAAACATTTACATTTCGGAAATTATTCCAAGAGAAATTTGAAAAAGTGGCTACCTTCTATACCCAAGACTGAAATTCATAAACTCATAAATATTAGCATCCAGTAAATGCATAATCTACTGTGACTATTTTTTGCTCTTTTTCATAATTTGTGTTCTACAGTTACAGCTTGAAATTATTGGTTCATGCACTATTGCGCCTGTTTCTATTTTATATTAATTTACTTATGATGATTTCTTTGTAGATTTAGTGAATAATATTATTACTTCTCCCCATTACAGATGTGCGTGGGGAATAAGCCTTCTTCTCTGGCCACCGTGGATTTACAGCTGGCCTTACATCGAAGGCCAACGAACTGTGCCGAATGACGAATGTTACATCCAGTTCATCGAAACGAACCATTACATCACTTTCGGTACAGCGATCGCTGCCTTCTATGTTCCAGTCTCTGTCATGTGCTCCCTTTATTGGCGGATATGGAGGGAGACGGAAAAGCGACAGAAAGATCTTCCCAACCTTCAAGCCGGAAAGAAGGATAGTAGTAAGAGGAGTAACTCTAGGTAGGCTTTATTTTGCATACTGCTAGTTATAAGTAGCAGTTTCATGAGGACATCAAGCTTCAAAAGAGGTCACGTGCTCGATGATACATGGTAGTATGCGGACTTGGATGGAACACTGGAATCCGATATTCGAACACGAATTACTCAAGATTCAAACTCAACAATAAAAGGTATTCGAATACCGCTGTTTTGAGTACCTGGATTCATTTAAATAAGTAAACTTTTATATACTCGAACTTAAAAAACATATGCGCACTTTAATCTTGATTTTTATTTATGAAGGTACATGAATTATAAAAATATATAAAAAAATTGAAAATGCATGACCATATTGAATAAAACTTAAAATAACATTTTGATACACAGTGTCACAGTCAGGTTAGAAAAATTAATTGTATAATAAAAACATTATTTGATTTTTAGAATAAAACCTAATAATAAAATATATAAATCTTAAACAATGTAACCTACATAATTAAAAATAAACGTACATTCTTATATATCTGCTTTATCTGATATCACACACAAATTACAACGTATTAATGCTTGTTATAAAACAGAATGGAACTACCGCACAAGGGGTGAATACGTTATCTAACCTATTTCCTTAAGCTACCTCGTCATTGCGAATTCAGAAGTGCCATCGTCCACACAAACAAAATAACTTTGCGTAGTTATTTTGTTTCTGCCATCCACAACCACCGCGAACGTGTTTTAACACGCTTAAGTTGCGTAAAGCGTAACGCAATATTGATAGAAGTAGCCAAACATTATTCGAAAATAGGATTGGAATACCGAGATTTCACTACAAAGTGGGTATCCGAATATTGGGATTCAGAATCCGGAATATCGAATACCGACCAAAAATTATTCAGTCGAAGACCAAATACCAAACACACAAATGTATTCGATTAGTATTCGAACACCACCCAAACATACTCTGAAGAGGATTCAAAATACAGAGTATTCGAATACTACCCAAGACTGGTAGTATGTTCGACTTTAGCGCGTGAAAGTTGTTAAAGCATTGACAATCGGCCATTTGACGCGTATCAACGCGACTGTAGATTAGAGCTCGAAAAACTAGTGATATTTGTGCTTTAAATAGAAGAATAAGACCATATTTCCTTCTATATTGTCAAAAGATGCGAATGCATGTATCTATATCCTTGAAATATCATGCAAGAACACAACATATTTGGAAATAGAGAAGTCCAAGTACCTCTGACGTCGTAATGTGTACGAGAGAGAAGCGCGAGAAGCGTGCAATACGTACGTTAGAAAGACATAGAAGCACCATGTTGCCTGGTAACCCGAGCGCTTCTCTCTCGTACATGGTACCTCGTCAGTAATATGTATTATGTATATAGGCTCAATTGAAGTCTCGTAAAGGTCGAACTATTTCGCTGTCATTTATCAGATCAGAAGGGTCAATTGTAAATTCAAATTATTCCTAAGCTCAAATCGACCATACACGGTCTATTTATAATTATAATTTTCTATTGTCATCTTCAGAATAACTCAAAATAAATTCCTTCTAAAGCCACTCGGTGCTGCTCCTCATAGCAGTGCTGGGATACAATTACTGGAATAGCCTTCAGCTGGTCGGTTACATCCATTTGAATGTCTTCGACTGTCCCAAAATGAGTTCCATTGAAGTGATTATTCAACTTCGGGAAGAGAAAAAAGTCACAAGGACTCAAGTCAGGCGAATAAGGAGGATTAGGAGCCACATATACGTTTTTACTGGCCAGAAACTCGTTTATTGACATTGCTGTGTTGCCACGCATTTTTTTTTTATAAGCAAGAGGGAATGGTGGTGTGATTCCTCTTTCACTTTTTAATTAATTAATAAGTAAAATACGATAAATAAAATCTAAGAGTCAGTCAATGCAAAACAGCTTTCTAGTGGCGTGCAAATTTAGGCCGTAGCCCAATAAAGCGCAGAAACTTGAGACAGATTAAGCCACAAATCGCCGAGATGTTAGTCGGAACTTGTTTTGCTTGACCACCACACAAAAGAACAGAATCTATCAACAATGACGAAACCTAATTAATTGTATACAGATAGCCAAATAAAACAAGATATATAAAAAAATCACAATATATCATCTAATCAAATAGTACATAGTATGCTCCACCACTGGAGTGCAAGTTGAAAAAAAAACGATATTATTATTAAACTGCCGCACAGTAATAATATTAGACCGTGACCACAACCTTGAAAAACGTTTACCATGGTACACGTACGAAGGCTTCAAATATTTTAACGCCTAAACCTAAACTTATCTGAACAGTGGTCTTCTTCCAGTTACGGCTCTACAGTATATTCAGATAAGAGATAGTCCGGACATAAACAAGGCCACGTGATCATCGAACGCTGTAACATTCGGCAGGGACGTATTAAGAGTCACGCAGTACATATTTTAGATAGTAGATGCTGCTTTGCGTAACTTTGTAGTAAATTAGCACAATTCGATGTGTATACGATTGGTGATGGATATAGGATCATGTGGGGGTGGGGTAAGAAATATATAATGATGTAAATATACATAAGGGTTTCAAAATTTTCGCTTAGATTTCCAGCTTCGGATGCCGCCTGATGTTTGGTGAAATACAGTCGAATATAATCTCAAAATGGCGTTTAAATTAGCCTAAATTAAAAATAATCGAATATCTCTTAAAATTGCTTTTAGAATATTGATTAGTATATTTTTTGATTTCTAGGTAAATATGTAACCAAATTAAAACGTTCAAAACGTAAAAAAATGTGCATGGTTGAACATTGTCAGAAAGTAGATTCTTGAATAGGTTTTGCCAAAATGGGTTCAAAAATGTCAATAATTAATTAAAAAATACAGTAGCTTTATAATTACTTATAACTTACCGAATTTGATGAACGACATCTTTTATTGGAAAGATGAGCTTGATGAGCTTTCATCATCGCTACTGCCTGAAGCACCAACGTCAATAATGAATGGCTCGACTTGTTCCTCTAAAATATTGTCCAGTTCCCACATTCTCTTTTCAACTTTGTCTTTCACGTGCTTAATACAGTTTTCCCATTTTTGCGCTGTTATTAATTCTAGTGCTTCTTTGAAAAGTCCTTTGAGGTCACAAAATTTAAAAGTTGTATTGTGCTTAGCTATATAATTTTTAACCTCTGCCCATATGAGCTCAATGGGATTGAGCTCGCAATGGTATGGAGGTAAACGGAGCACAGTTTTATTTTGACTTGCTGCCATTTCGTCAATGGCGTATTTTTGATATTCCGCCAATTTTGAACATCAACTTTCCTTGAAGCCGTTGTTGGGACCTTCTCCATTCTTCGAGAATGATAAGGCGCATTATCCAACACAATTACTGCGTTTTCCTCTAAGTTCGGTAAAATTTTTGAAAACCACTGTTCAAACGATTCGCCATTCATTTCCTCGTGGTAATCTCCAGTTTTCTTAGACTCAAAGCACCACAGACCGTCAACAACAAATCCATCCTCACTGCCAATATGGCAGATAATGAGCCTTTTCCCTTTACCTGGAAATCGAAGTACTAACTGGTGTAGATTTATTTCAATAAGCGAACCTTTTTCAAATGTTTTCATCACATTCAGCGAAAAAACATTGAGACATGAGTATCAGATTGCTATAATTGGGATTATTTAGTCATATTGAAAGAAAGAATATTGAACGTCGTATGATTACTCAGCGCTTCACAATTTAATTTAAAGTTATAAACCTCTAAAAAATGAATGATCAGGAACCTGAAATACGCGCAAATATTAATATTAACAAATTATAACTTTATAAAGCTTAAAGTATGAATTAAAATGATTAGAAATATTAGGAACGGTACACAATATAAAACTTAGTAACTTTTTTTAAGTTTATAATATTCGACATATTTTAAGATTATATTAAAAAATTATTGAAATATCGAAAACACATAAAAACATGGCTTAAAAAAGTTCTAACAAATGAAAATGACAATAAAACATCCACGCATTTTATCGAAAGTTATAAAAGTTTTGTTACTTGTAATATGTTTTATCTGCCCCCTGGAATTAATGTTTAGAACTTTGTTCCCAAGGTTTGAAAAACATCCGATTGTTGTCTATTACTCGTATTTACCTGCTGGATTTTTTAATCCGGTGGACAGTCCATCTAGAAAGGCCCTCCTGGATGAAGTTACAGAATCATCAACCCATACTTTACTTGTAGTGTGTCCTGCGTTTACCCACGTTTCATCAAGGTAATAAATCTTCCTGTTTTGATTTCTATATTTCCCAATTTTTGTTAAATAATCCCTCCTCCATAGCACAATTTCTTCTCTATCCAGTAGTAAACTATTACGACCCCGTTTTTTCCATTTGAAATTTAAATGCTTCAGTAACGCATGGAAAGTTGAAATTTGGCAACGTTGTATCTCCATTTACCTCCTGCAGTACTTTATCTATAGTAGGTATTTCATTCCTAAAGAAGAATTCATGCACTTTCCTCCTAATCGCATGCTTATCAGCTTCATCCAATGATTTAACAATACTTTTGCGATGTTTACTGGTCATTGGCTCAGAAAAGGTGTGATTTTTTTTGTATTGTCTTAACACAAGAAAACACTGATGCGCGACACACCCCAACTTTGTGAGAAACCTTCACAACAATTTCTTTGATGGTTGATGCCTCGTTCTCCTCGTGCTCGATCTTATATATATTCAAAATGAGCTCTTTCATTTCTGCACTCAGGTGTCTTTTTTTAGAGCGTTTCCTAGGTGGACTACATGAGTTTACAACTTCATCGGCAGTATCTGTACTACTGGGCATTTTGCGCAAGCAGTTGATAACAATAACAATCAATAACAAGGTATAACAATAACAACGACAAACTCAACAACTTAATAAGATAACAAACGAAAACGTCCAAAGAAATATCAAATTGCAATGATGCACACGACATACGTAACACGTCTGAACCTGAATGTGACTCTGCCTTGATACGACTGCTCTGCCGCTCGGCATAGGCATTTAATTGCGAATTGACCAATGAGGGCTCCTGTTTTACGTCGAGACGGCGGCGTTAGCGTGAAAATCACCCGAACCTTTTGTTTACATCCGGTCTATCTCTTATCTGAATATACTGTAGGCGCAGCCGAGATGTCCTCAGTTCACAAACGTTCGAGTTAAAAACCAATGCCAGCAGTGAACAGTGACGTGGAGAACGTCACAAGGTGCTGCTGACTCGTTCTCAAAATTTATGGTACAAAAAACCCTGAAGAGAGAAAGACTGCTTGAAAATCTACTCTCTATCTCTGTCTGAGACAAAACTACGCATTTAAACATTTACTTGAAGAAAAACCATGTACATTCTCTTTTACAAAAAAGTAAAGCAAAGGCAAAAAAAGATAAAAATGTACTAATATACTCCCTTATTATAAAAAAAATATGGCAGTTCAAAAATCAAAATCATGATCAATGTATGGAGTAAGCCCAAAAGAAGGTGCCATGTAGGCACTGCCCCATATTTGAATACGTACAATGTCAAACAAAATCAAGTACACTCTATCAGCAATAATCAATATGTAAAATAGTTAATTAAAATGATATTTTACCTGTTCACATCAGGGTTTTTTTTGCTCAAGAGGAAGGGGTGGCTTCCAGCAATAGCAGCTGTAAAATGGTTATAAGGCAGCTACATAACGATGCTGGAGGAGCGTGAACGGTAGCTCCGCAATGCTTTCCCACTAAACGGAAGCAGATATTGAATAAACTTCTTCAGAACATGCATTAATGCACGTGGTCCGATGATATAAAAAAGAACTTATCGCTGAAAGTTAAAATCCCATAAGATGTACGAGATAGAACCAAACCAAAACAACTAAACGTATCTAATATCTCAGAATCTGGAAGTTGAACAAACGACCTCAACAGGAAGGTGACTGATACAAAACACGTAACTTTTTAACAGGAAACCATAGAGTGATTTGCTGATTGCCATTGCACGAACTCTAGAAAACCAACTCTACGAGGGTCTAATGGTATTTTATAAGGAAACTTCTGAGATAGTCGTTAATAAAATACTATAATATTAGTGTCCAAATAAATTTCAACGCAATACTGAGTCGAAAAGAAATTCGCCAAAAGAAAGTCATTAAAAAGGGTTTGGCCTAGGAATCGGCACGCTACCATTGATAAAGAGAAATTCAAATTAGTGGTAAGTGATCGAAAAGTAAAAAAAAATCACGATGTTTCAGAGATTACTGTTTTTTATTTTTTGTCCGTGGCTCCGTCTCCACAAAATTAATTTTCGAAGTCTCGTCCTTAGCGTCACCTTGTGTCAAAATCTCATTAAAGAGGTCGTTTGAAGGTAACGAACAGACAGTTAAGCGTAAGCCTAACAATAAAACCTCTTTCAGTGCTCGCTTAGAAAATATGGTCCATTTTGAATGTATCACCCCTTCAGTATTCACACATGATTCCAGCAGCTGAGCTGGACGCATGCGGCTCAAAGACAGGTGTGTGAAAAAAGTTGACAATGGCATGGCGAAAGATGGAAGAACAGAACAGACCAATGCATTAAAAATAACAATTGGATACATTACAAGATCAGTTCTTGGCAAATCAGTTAAACAATACAAGAAAATGGCAACTTTGTGGTAAAATGTTATTAAAATCCGAGGGACCGTGGTTTAGCAGACCGAAATACCAACGAGGGTGAGTGACATTGTTTTTCATGATATACTTCCCATGTAACATTCAAATAAAATATTTCATTTTCGAAATTTAGTACCTTCTTGCCAGTACCTTGTATTTCAAATTGATCTATCAAGTTAGATCTAGTTTACGAAAGGCTTCGACCGTACTTGAAAGATTTCCAAAATCCCTAAGTAATAATTCAAAAATAAATAGCACCACCTCTAAACAGTTATTTGATAATAAACAATTATTGTTTATCGCGATAGTAAATAATAAATTATAGTTTGAAAAAGTAACAAAAAGTGCTTCAATAGCAAATCGGATCAAAAAGTAGGGAATAATTTTCAAGAATAGGAAAGTTTGTGTTACTGCAGTAGGAAAACTACAATAATCAAGTATGAACAATAAACTTGGAATATGACTAATATAATGATTTTCAAGTTATCCAGTCTTCTTGAATTTGGTGAAAATTAGGTTGACAGATTCCGTAACATATACGTACATGTGTCATGCCCTTGTACAGCTGGGAGCCTGAGCGGACAGATGTCTCCTTGAAGAGACTACTTCCATTGAAGTTCACGACTTGACCTGGAAAACGATAACATTTCTCGACGCATCGATAGGGAGATAAGTATTCGACCACATGGCGAAAGCAGTTAGTGACAATCGAGACGCAGTCGAACCAGTGGACAGCAAATGAGGAATTAAGTTAGAATAATAGCCCAGTCGTTTGTTAAAGATTAGGTGCAAATGTTATAAATCAGTGTAGCAGTAATAAATTAGACTTTGGACAGTAAAACGGTGGTTTCGTTACAATAGTGACATACCTACAGGTCAAGCTAACAACAAAAGCGTGTTAAAAATGAAAAGTTTATGAAGACAGCGGCTGCGACATACGAGGTGTTACCGTACGTAATAATCTATAAACAAAGCTTTTTGACTTTCAGACACAACCATTCCTCAGAGGTGGCTCGATGTTTATACCCTCGCAGGTGTAGGCTGAACTTGTTACTTTAACTGTACGCGGCTAAATGCTCTTCATGTGCATTTCTCTTGACATCCCTTGATTATTACCGATCACTTTGATATAGCTGCCACTGTCCGTTAATAGACAAGTTTATAGGCGAGAAGAGTACTCTTTAGATGATGCTATTTTAGTCATGCGTGCAGGCATCATGGCCTTCAACTTCCAAATTCTCGCGGTGACTCTTGACACTCGACGCTTGATGTCCTCATGAAATTGCGCATTTAGACGGACCACAAGGCTGAGAGATATTTCCAACAAAGAATTTACTTGAAGTAGGAGTTAGTTTAGATATGTTAGTCGCATGTTTTTCACACACGCATTTGGAATGTATGTAGCTGTAACATTTCATTGAATTGTGCATTATGAATGTTGTCACATGGTTTACCGCATACACAGGGTGGCCCATTCTTCGGTAGACTCAGTGTTGCTCCTAGACCACAAACTGGAAACAAACTCTTTTTAAGGGGGCCTACAAATATGAAATATAACAATTTGATGAAATTCAACTTTGGTAACTGGCCCAATGATGTCACAATCTGTATTGTTATAAATATTTATATAATTTTTATCCATAGCAATACAACAATTTTCTCTAATTTTCTGAGAAACACGCTCCCGCCCGGCAGGATAGGACGCCCTACTTATGCTATTATAGATATCGCATGTACTCTTATATATTTATTCAATAGATGTGTATAGATTTGTTTTTGCTTACTTTTGTGAATTTATTTGCTTCCTATATGTATTCTAATTTGTGTTCCCAGAGTTTAAATAAACATGAAATAATCGAAAAATACACCTTTAGGTTTTGTATACTGTTCTAAATTAACTTGTACCTGCTTATAAAGCTTATTCCTAGATAGAATAACATATCTTCTACACTACATACCTAGGATGAGAAGTGGACCGCCGTTGATTCAGCATTTTTATATACAATAATGCGCAGAATCAAAAACAACAAAACATTAAGCTTAGTTGCATAATTAAATTAACAGAATATTATCCTGGGTGACTTCAAAGATGGAATTTTCGTCTACACGGCATACAGTTCTTAGAAAAATAAGCAAGTTTTTTCTTGTAACATATATACCAAAGCCCCGAGAAAAGCTAATCCCGTCCTGCACCTTGATCAGATCAAACGTGAACACGTACGATGCGAATCAGTACTCAATGCAGGCGCTGACCGCGTTTGTAAACAAAATCTTTACACATCGGTTCTAAAAAAAGTGGCACACTCTGACGTCGATACCTGTATTGTCCATATTATTTTAATTTACGGTGAGTGTCTTCGGAATGCTACCGAGGCTTCGCGAGTGCATGCAGATCGTTTTTAAGGACCCTACGCGATTTACGTTTTGTTATTATATATATATATATATATATAGGGTGACTTTGAAGTTGAGTCATTAATTTTCAGATAATGATTGTAGAAGGAAGATAAACCAAAATATGTGTGTAAAAATAAAAAAAAATAAAAAAAAAATGTTACCTTGTTTTATAAAGTATCCTCCCGACAAGTATTTCAGTGCGGACCTGTGCGCCCAAAAGCATGTCACAAAAACTGTTCGAAATGATTTCCGTTTTGCTCGACGCACAGCTGGGCGCGTCTTAGCCATGTCTCTTTACAAGCACGCAATAAAATCACTGGTTGATTTCTGATCACTGTACTCATTTCCTCAATTCGAGCACGTAATTCTTCGCGTGTATTAACCGGTGTTTTATACACTAGAGTTTTTAGCCAACCCCACAAACAAAAGTCTAAAGGATTTAAGTCCGGAGACCTTGGCGGCCAAGGTATTTAAAAATTCACGCACATTTCTTGCATAATGGGGTGGTGCCCCATCTTGTAAAAACCACATGTTTTGTCTAATATTTAAAGGCACATCTTCCAGTAAACCAGGCAAATTGTGTTGCAAGAAATCAAAATAATTTTCACCAGTTAAGCGATTTGGTAATTCAAAAGGCCCCACTAAAATTCCATTAACAATTCCCGCCCACAGGTTGATTGGTTCAAATCGCTGTTGAAAATTGGTTTCCCTTATTTCATGGGGATTTTCAATAGCCCAAACGTGAGAATTACGTGAATTAATAATTCCGTTTCTAGTAAAGAGGGCTTCATCACTCACTAAAATTTGATTTAAAAAATTGTCATCATTTTGATGTTTATTTAAAAGCCAATTGCAAAAGTCAACCCTTTGTTCATGATCTTCCGGTTGTAAGGCCTGCACTTTTTGTATGTGAAACGGATAGAACTGATTTTCACGTAGAGTTTTCCAAGTTTTATACTGACTAATCGCCAATTGAGTTGAAATTTGTCGGGTGCTTACTGTTGGATCATCACTTACTAATTCTAAAATTTGTTCTTCTAGTTCTATTTGATCGTGTGGTCTTGGAGCACCGGCATGATCTCCTCTGTGAGGTCTTAAGTCACCTGATTCACGAGCTCTTTGCACTACATTAACAAAGGCACGAGGGGTTGGTTGCACTCGATTGGGAAACCGATCCGCATAGATCCGTGATGCCGCGGCAGCATTTTGTAAATAAGAACCATGTCCACAAGTTCAGCATTTTCGTAAACATGTGCCATTTTTGATTTGAGCCTCGCAACAGACACGATTATTCACTTACGCGTTACCGACTACCGACTGATACTGACTGTATACAACTGAAGAAAATAATTGTAAAAAGATCGTTCCAAATTCTTTCGCTTTTTTGTTTCCGATGCGATGAACGGATAAGGCGGATTATATCTGTTGTTGCCAAACACGAGAACATAATATCATTATTGAGACAGGGCGGAACTCAAACTTCCGAAGGGCTATAACTTTGTTACTTTAATTTTACCAGAAAAATGGTAAAGGAAAAAAACATTTCTTTTGATCAGATCTACTCACTGTTAAAATAAATGACTCAACTTCGAAGTCACCCTGTATATATATATATATATATATGATCTGCTGCATTCATTTAGGGAAGGCAGTCAATTCTAAATGCATACGTTGATGCTTGGATATGTCGAGCACATACAAGTGTCTGAGAAGCTGACGCAGACAATTTTGAACAATACTCACAAGTGCATTTGCCTTTTTACTTTCTCGCTGTTGTTTCATCGCGTATTATGTTTGTTATTACAAACGTAGTTGTTTCTGAAAAGTCCTATCTTTAAGGACACCTTCTATAAGCGCAGTGCTGGTCGTAGGATTTATGGTTAGGGGGATGTTCAGGTCCAGGGAGTCAAGGTAATTCTTGGACCAAGATACAGCAATATCTACCATTTTATTGGACAAATGGCAGGCTTGGGCATCTAGGGGGAGCTAGATGCACCGCCTTCTGGTTCCGCAAATGCAAAGGAGCGATATAGTGCCCAGGTTTGTAATGCTTCCAGGGGCGGACATTCATGTGATATCGTTTGTAATACATAGCTCCAAAGTTTTATGATACGTGAAGCTTGATATTGAAAATGCTCTACGGCATGTGAAGGAAGCTATGCAATCTCATTACAACGTTATTTGAATAATATGCGTGTAATATTCTCAATTAGTATTGCACGTCTCAGGTTTTGCCGGTTTATTCATTTTAGTTTATATATAGACACTTCAAAACGAAGAAAACGTTTATTTCAAAAATAAATCGGTAAAGCTAATAAGGGTTGAGCACAACAGTAAACATAATACATTTGATCGATGAATTTCATGATCTGCCCGTAAATAATTATATCAATTGATTTTTCACTTCACAATTTCACTCAGTATTTTTTGTTAAAAGCAGTGAAGGCAATACTGATGTAAAAATTTATAGTATACTGGCAGAGAATATGAGCAGAATTTCATAGAAGGGTACTTAACATGCTCACGAGAGAGCCATCCGAAAGGTGAAGGGTCTTATAGTACTCCATACACTCCCAGATATTTGTATAACAATACGCGGGCCTTTTCCAGGTTAAGTGTCATTTCTTTATCGACACGCTTATGAAAGGGCTCAAAGATAGATTACCGCATAGTTCAAGGAGAAACCTAATATAGTCAGGTTCTGTAAGCACACGTTCAATTTTTTCAACGAAGTGCTTTTCGGTATCTGCGTATGAATACTTAGAAAGGATCGTTCCAAAAATGAAAGGCTTCAACAAATATCAGACAGGTTTTATACTGAGGGATCCAATGTAAACTCTACTCTCCATCATATTACAGTTTATAATTGATTTGTTTCTGAAATACCTTTAAAATTTTAATGTGACACCTGAAATTTATGATGTGGTTTTCATGCTGGTCGGACTGCATGATTATTTGGCCAAAAGAAACCTCATACTGTCTGTTTCACGAGTATTCTGCCCTGTTAAGCAAACTTCCATCCTATGGCCTCCCAGAAAAGCTTTGCAGATGGGTGGCTGACTTTATATCTGGCCGCAAGATATCCGTCGTAATTGACGGGTTCTCCTCTTCATCCCACAACGTCAACGCGGGTGTTCCCCAGGGATCGGTCTTGGTTCCGACACTGTTTCTCTTACATATCAACGACCTCCTTTAATGCACGATCAACCCAATCCACAGCTTCGCTGATGACAGCACTCTACATGCAGGAATTCAGAGTGACAAGCCGATCTCTGCCGCTGAGTTGGAAAAAAGAAGACTAGCGATGACTTCCTCTCTGACAAGAGACCTGGAGGCTATCACTGCTTGGGGACGCAACAATCTTGTACAGTTCAATGCTTCCAAAACGCAGTACTGTACTCTGACGAACAAGAAGCGTCCCTGCGCTCACCCGGTTTCGATGGATGGTCGAGTTCTGCCAAAGAGCCATTCACCTGATCTGGCACGAACACATCTCGTCAATAGCTGCAGCTGCTGGAAAAAAGCTAGGCTATCTGTTTAGGGCTAAGAAGTACTTTTCTCCGCACGACCTTTTCATTCTATACAAGGCCCAGATAAGGCCTAGCCTCGAGTATTGCTCACACGTTTGGGGTGCTGCCGCTCCGACTACATTATCCATGCTCGATGCTGTCCAGAGGAGGGCGGTCCGACTGATCGATGACTCTGCTCTAGCAGACAGTCACGGGACTCTTTCGCATCGGCGGGCTGTCGGCGATCTGGCTCTTTTCTACCGTTACACCAACGGGCTTTGCTCCTCGGAGCTCTCTTCCATGATGCCGTCGCACGATGTGCCTGTCAGACAGACCCGCCTAACTTTGGCGTCCCATCCTAACCGTGTCGAACTTCGTACATCCAGAACCGGCCGATACGACCGCTCTTTTGTCCCGAGGGTGTCGAGATTGTGGAATAATCTACAAGAGGGGGCTTTTCCCAGTTCTATTAACCTTAGGCAGTTCAAAAATCGTATTAATAAAATTTCTTTGGGATCATCATAGCAGCCGCGGTGTTCCGACATTTGGGCTTCTGCCTGCGCGGCTGCTTCAATATAAAAAACAAAAAAAATTCATTATTGTAGAATAACAGCCGAGTATCCAGTAATACTTCAAAATCCTTCATATCGACCAGCGACGCACAAGTTTGACGGATCCGCCAACGATTTGTAGACAGCGCCATGCTTTGTTGTTTTTTGTTGTATTTGCTAACAATTAAGTTATTTATAAAAGTTCTTTTGCATAAAAAAATGCTACAAGCAAAATGACAGCTAATGATCATGATTACATTTCAAATCAGGTGGGAATAAAATAAGATAGATGGTTTTTGACTTTGAGAATCACTTCTACTTTCTAGAACTTGAAACACCATATGACTTTAAAGGGCAATGAATCTGTGAATTATGTTACACTGATGACG